GTATTTGCTAAAATTTTTCATTGTAAGTTTTTGGTATAAAAACCTAATAATCATGAAAACACAGGAGGATGTGTTAGGCTCTCCAGTCTGATGCGTGAATAATATTAATTGTATTTGGAGAAACATGGAGTAATTTATCGGCAAACTAAGTCAAGAAATCAGCTGGTATTATCTGAAAAATATAAAAGGCAAGTATATTAAGTACACAAAGAGATGGGACATCAAGGAGTTGCATGAATAATCAGTCTTATGAGAGAGTGTTTTTATTGCCTGCAGATGTTCAATGTTCCTCTTTATGTCACTAGTATTGCTACATACACTGAGTAAAACCTCACCAATCTACTAGAACTCCACTAACTAATGCTGTTACAACAGAATCCTATGCAATCGTATCAATACATTTTTTGCATCTAGAAAGAAGCAAAGGATGATAAAAATGCATTTTAGTCAGAGTGGATCACTTCACTAGGTTTGTTCAATCACATTCTACCACCAGCAAGCCCATAAAGATTACACTGAGAAATGGAAATAGCAGATAAAAGAAGCTAATGAATTGGCATCAAAATGTTCTTAAAGATCTATTTCTGGAAAGGATTACTTGTCAGGAATCTTTCAGAGAGAGGAACCAGGCAAATGAATATGCTATTGAGAAGATAAAATTCATGTATTACTTTAAAAAAAAGGAGATAGTTTTGTCTACAAAGTAAAAACAAAAGATGGAAAAAGATTTGTTTGAATTCTTCACCTCCCCCCCCCATATTTTAATTCCCTGTGATCTCTTACCCTTGGACATGCCCTCTAAACTACCTTAGAGGAAGTCACAGAGAACAAGGCAAAATAGCACAATAAGATATTAGGGCTGTCAATTAATACAAGCAATTAATGCAAAACAAACTAACTAGATTAAGAAAATAGTCAGGATTAATCACAGTTTTAATTGTACCATTCAACAATAATAGATTTCCAATTTAAACTTATAAATATTTTGGATATTTTTCTATATTTTTAGATATATTGATTTCAATTATAACACACAATAGGAAGTATTCAGTGCTCACTTTATATTATTTTTATTACAAATAGTTGTACTGTAAAATAAACAAAAGAAATTGTATTTTTCAGTTCACTTCATAGTAGTACTATAGTGCAGTCTTTTTACTGTGAAAGTACAACTTGCAGATGAAGTTTTTTTATATAGCTGTGTTAAAAAAAATAAAAGTTTAGAGCCTACAAGTCCACTCAGTCCTGTTTCTTGTTCTGCCAATCAAGAAGTAAAAGAAGCTTGTTTACAGTAATGAGAGATAATGCTGCCTGATTTTTATTTACAATGCCAGGTGAAAATGAAAACAGGTGTTCATATGACACTGTTGTAGCTGGTGTTGCAAAGTATTTACATGCCACGTATGCTGAGCATTCATATGCCTCTTCAAGCTTCCCTGTAGGCTCTAAAGTTTTACATTGTTTTGTTTCTGAGTGAATTTATGTAAAAAAAGTCACAATAAGGCCACATTTGTAAGATGCACTTTCACAATAAAGATTTTACACTATAGTACTTTTATGACATGAATTGAAAAATACTATTTCTTTTATTTTTTACAGTGGAAATATTTGTAATCAAATAATAAAGCGAGCACTGTATACTTTGTATTATGAGTAGCAATTGAAATAAATAAATTTGAAAATGTAGTAAAACATCCCAAAATATTTGTAATAAATTTAAATTGATAATCTAGTACTGTTAAACTGTGCAATTAAAACTTAATTGCTACTATATTTTTTAAATCTCACAATTCACTGCAATTTCTTTAAATTGTTTGACAGCCTATAACAGATTAAAACAAGGACAGGATTCAGACTCCAGTTATTCTAATAGTAAGATGGAGATCAACTAGTATGTTTACACGTCCAGGGGAGTCATAGCTGCAGCAACCGATCCAACGGTGGTTGATTTTTTTCAGGTCTAGTGAAGATCCATTAAATTGCCTACAAATCACTCTCCCATTGTTTCTACTATTCCACCGGAATTGAATCTATAAAATAAGTCAATGAGGGATAAACTCTCCCATTATTCCAGCAATAAGTAGACCTAAGCTTTGTCGACTCCAACTACATTATTCACATATATACCAGGCTTGTTATGTGATGGTACCAGAGACTCCGAATCCGCAAGCAGAAACAATTTTATCCACACTTGTGAAATGAGGATGTTATGGATCCTGTAAACGTGGAAACTGCTAATCAGACTGAAGTGACATTTGCACCTGCCACTGAAAGACATGAATGTCAAAACAAGACCATGAAACCTGAAATTAGTAGTGCACAACAGGACAGATTATCAGAACAATCCACTGACAACTGGTTCATATTAACATCTAGAAACACGTATTATCATCGTCTAACTCCAACTATTGGATTGGTGATTGCACCATGGGATTAACCTCATATATGTCACATGCCCTCCTAAGCATCTATCTTATCCTGTATTTTATCCAAGACTGAAGTAACATTAGAAAATGAATCAGTATTGCTTTCTAGGATGGATATTCGTCCTGCCAAATATCATGTAGTTATTATTTATTATTTCATAGATTTTTAAATAGCTTGCCATATGCCCAATGCCTCAGTTCCATGCTTCTGCCATGAATCTTATAGGCTAACTGAAATGGACCTAGTGGTATATTTTGCTGATAGAAATGTCAGGATGACATTAAATTTACAAGTGGGGGGAGGGGGCAGAGTGTAGCACTCACATAACTATGTATGTATGTCAATGTATTTTCATGTGAATGTGAGCCTTTTTCTTAGGAATTGGTTGAAATGCCAGGTAATTTTAGTGTTCCCTGTCCCTCTAAGCCTAAGGACTGGAGCTCTGCTGAAAAGATGAAAGGGGACACAGCCGGCAAGCAGGGTGTGGTCTCAGGAGAGTTTTGTATTTTGTGGAGAGACCCAGCCCCAATGAGGCTTGTGCAAGCTATGTCTGGGTTCTTTAGATGTAATACAACTCCAGCGTTTAACTCAGTTCAAGGTCTAGGAGTGTAACAATAATATTAATGGAGCTGACCCCATGTTCCTTTATTAACAATGATAAGAAGCATTTAGAAAGTTTCTCCAGTGCAAACAGAGCCCCATAAGGGCATCGCCTACTTGTTCTGAATAACAATGTTCACTTCAGCAGATCTGGGTGATTGTGACAACAGGCATGTTTATTATAGCTTTACTTCTTCACTGTCTAATCGAAAATGGGGTTTGTATTTGTTTCTCTAATGAACAGGGCATCACAAGATTGAGACTGACCTTATGTGCCCAGCAAAAATCTTTGCCAGAAATCTGGATAACATCACAAGCTTGTTGAAGAAATATTATGGCCAATCAGATATGTAGCCATGATTTCCCATCTTGTATTTGTTCCATCACAAACTTTCAAAAGTCTCATCAGAGCTATTCACTTGTAGAAAAACATTTAATCTTGCAGCATTTTGTGACATGTGGCATGCTTCTCAGGAAAGAGAAAGTCTCACCACAAGTTGTCTTTAAAACTGTGGCATGACTATGGATGAGCCTTTCTCTTCTCTAAGGCCATGTCTACACTATGCAGAAGATTGACGCTATTGCTAACAATCTTCTGGGGCTCAATTTAGCAGGTCTAGTGAAGACCCGCTAATTCAAACTGAGAGGGCGCCCCCATTGACACAGGCTCCCTCAGGGTGTGTCTAGACTACAGGGTTTTGTCGACAAAAGTGGACTTTTGTTGACAAAACTATACCTGCGTCCACACTGCCTTTGAGTTATGTCGACATAACATCGACAAAACTCAGCAGTTTTGTCGACGTATGTAAACCTCATTCTACAAGGAATAACGCCTTTTGTTGACAGAGTTCTGTCGATAGAAGGCATTATTGCATCTACACTGTCCTTTGCGTCCACATTGTTATGTCAACAAAGCAGCTTGCTTTGTCGACAGAAGTGGATGTAGTCTAGACGCTCTTTGTCTACAGAAGCTTTGTCGACAGTATCTGTCGACAAAACTTCTGTCGACAAAACCCTGTAGTCTAGACGTATCCTTACTTACGAGGAGTAAGGAAAACGAACGTGAGCGTTTGCTTCTGTCAATCTCCCAGGCTGCGTCTAGATTGGCATGATTTTCCGGAAATGCCTTTAACGGAAAAGTTTTCCGTTAAAAGCATTTTTGGAACAGAGCGTCTAGATTGGCACAGACGCTTTTCCGCAAAAGCACTTTTTGCGGAAAAGCGTCTGTGCCAATCTAGATGCGCTTTTCCACAAAAAAGCTCTGATCGCCATTTTCGTGATCGGGGCTTTTTTGCAGAAAACAAATCTGAGCTGCCTACTCTGGCCCTTTTGTGCAAAAGCTTTGCGCAAAAGGGACTTTTGCCTGAACGGAAGCAGAATAGCATTTTCGCAAGAAGCACTGATTTCTTACAGTAGGAAGTCAGTGCTTTTGTGGAAATTCAAGCAGCCAGTGTAGACAGCTGGCAAGTTTTTCCGGAAAAGCAGCTGATTTTCCGGAAAAACTGGCCAGTCTAGACACAGCCCCACTATTTGGACAGTGATTTAAAAGATATGTCAACTCCAGCTACGTAATTAACGTAGCTGGAGTTGTGTATCTTAAGTTGACCTTTCCGGTTAATGTAGACGTGCCATTCTCCAAGAGACATACCACACCACAAAACATGCTCCAGTCCCCATGCTTTTTATAAGATCTTGCCATCTGTGTTGTCTCAGACTTTGTGTTTTGACAGAGTTAAATACCATGAAGGCTAAGTTACAATAATAACTTGAACTGAACTATAGTAGGATAACTTAAAATAAGAACATTATTCAGACTACATCTGTCACAGGTTAAAAAATAACACTCCATAGCATACGGAGAAGTGTACTCCATTACTGTTTTATAGCCCTACTATCTTCTAGAGACTGTCACAAACTCAGATGGTATCCTCAGTGTTAGGTTTATGTTTATATCTCTAAGTTAGCTGAAAGATGTATGAAATCACACATAGGCTGAGAGATCCCTACTGATTACACATCTCAGGACTTTCTGATGTATGGCTTAGTCTAACAAGTACTTTGTGAGTACTTAGAATTACCTTGTGCTCATGAAATGTGTCACAGTTACACGTGTTTTTTTGCCAGGAAAGTGTGAATAACTAAAGCACAGGGATGAAACACACTACCTCTGGGGACGAGGAAGGAGATAGAAGGCAGTCTCAAATTTAAACATCTTAAAGTAAGTTTTCATGAACTCCTATATTTCAGCTCTCAATTCTGTTTGAATTGTTTTGAATTACAGGAGAGCAGGATCTGTTTTCATGGTATTTCTGACCCACCCAAAACTATGATCTACACTACTAACTTCTCAAAATAAAATCCTGATTTTAGGAGATTTGTAGACTGGGCCAAAGATGATTAGATTTTAAATACAATAGCATGAAATTCTTCATACTAGATTGACCTTGTTTGCCTATCAATGTTGTACCTGAGTTCCTAGTAAAGGTAAAGAACAATTGTCTATGTAAGTCACTACTGAATTGGTATATTTTCCAAACTTGTTTGGGATGTTATGACTACATTTTTCTCTTGTGGAATTAAGAAAAGATCTATAACAAATGCAAATATATATAGAAATACAAGGAAAAGGAATAAGCTATTCATTCAAGCAGGAATTAAAATTAAACCTGTTTTTTTTTTAAAAATTCCTGAGTCTTACATCAAAAGGATGATAGACTTCTTTAGGGTTTTCATAGTGCTGTGTCTGTCTCTCCCAATCCAATATATACACAGTATTTTAATTAATCATAAGACTTCCCTTCCATGTAATCGTGCATCTATGCATCACTGTATTTAACTATAGAGATTTAGAATGCACTGTAGTTTAGTACCACAGAGAAGCCAGATAAACTTAAATATTGTGATTCAACATCACAACAGTAGCAATGGAAGAGCATGATGTAAAGAAAGAATGTTTCCATGTCTCCTTGTGCAAGTGCCAAACTGCATCTATAAGACCATTCGTTATTTCACTTTATTTCTTGTAGAAATTATGTGGCAGTGTACAGTTGTGAATATGATTGGAGGAAACTGAAAGTGTTGAAAATGCTCAGGTCTGGGAAGTTTCAAAGAAGGGAATATCTTACAAATAAAAACTTTTGGTGTTATATGACAGCTTTTTCAATTGAAGGGACCAATCCAACGGAAGCAAGCCACAATGGACAGCTCATAGATGTTGAATGGACTTCTTGTGCTATCAACCCAAAAAGGCCAATTTTGTTTGGTGGGAGGGAGGGGGAGGAAGAATTTTCCTTTTCTAATTGCTGTAGGATACTTCACTTGCTATCAGCATCACAAAGCAAAGGTCTTGTCCAAAGGAAGATTTTTCCATTCTGCTTCCTCTCTCAGATTCCTTCAGGAATAGATTCAACCGAGCATGGTGAGTCATGCTCTGTTACAAGGAAGTTGCAAATAAATGTAGCTGTTGTGCCATTGCCTGCTTTATAAGTGCATTACTAAGGTCATCCCAAGTCACAGGTGGTAGGTATAATAGGCCAGAGAAGGCTCTGAAACCTTTAGGAGAGGTTGCCGTGGGTACCAGACCATCCAATTGTGAGGTTTGGGGGTGGGGGGGGGAGTTTTTTTGTTTTATTGTATTCCATGCAGCTTCTGGGACAGCTGAGGAGGCGGTACGTACTATCCAATTTTCTGGGTTGACCACTAATGTCCCTGGAGGAATCTATGTAGCAAACTCTGCCTCCTCAGCTGCTCCAGCACCTGCATGGGGCATAGCAAAATGTCTTTCAGAGCAGAGAGGCTGTTTCTCTGTGCAGCTTGGGGTCTGGAGAGGGGAAGCATGGTGTGGCTGCAGCTGGCTCAGGACTCCTTCAGAGAGATTCAGGGCTTTGGCTGGTAGCAGAAAGTTCTGGTATGCTGGCAGCAGAGAAAAAGGGGGTCTTAGAGCTCTGGACATGGGGGGTGGAAGGGGCAGAGTCAGGGCTAATCTCCTCTAAAGGAGGCTCCACCCACCACCCATGGCCAAATTGATTATGCCAGTTACTGATCTGTTGGCCTTGTTAATCTTACTATATATTTTAGAAATGTACGTCTGTCTGTCTGTCTGTCCATCCGTTTGTGAGTCCATTTGTTCAAGAACTCCTCCAATATGGTAAGTGCTAGGACCACCAAATGTGGCTTGGCTACGAACTTGCTTGCTCACCCCCTACATTAGAAGAATTTCTCTGTAGAACCTTAAGCAGCTTTGGGGCCACAGAACATTGGCTCTGCTACATAATGTGTCTACCCCAATGCTGAATTCAGTGCTCAATTCCTGGAATCCTGCCATATATTTCTTATAAGAAAAGGACAGGGGGGGAGGGGAAGCTTTTTTAAGTAATTTTTTTCCTTGACTGCTTCTTTAAACTTGTTGTTCCCTCCAGGACTTAACTCACTGGTTTTAATACTGTAGACAGTGGAATAAGAATTTAATTAAATGAACAGAGAAACCGTACATGATTTAATTCTATTTTCCACTTTTCCTGTATGAATGTTGCAATTTTCCTTTGCCATTCACAGGTTAAGGAAAGGGAAGCCCTTTGAATATTAAATGGTATCTAAGGACTTTTCTTTTTAATTATTGTACACACGGCCAGCCAGAGTTTGAGTGCCAGGCCATAGACAGGACATACATGACCTCTGGTGATTTTATTGAATACTAAATGAGTAGGAAGAGAAATAAACCACTTGGTTATAACTATTGCCCTTCTCTGTTCCCCTCTCCAGATGCACTAGAGAGAACAATATCCAATTCTATCACAGCCAATGTAAGTCCAAAGCGAAGACAATAATGGACACAAATACGTTGCTCAAATGTAATGAACAATCCCACCATCTGGCCAGAACAGAATGTCATTGAATTATGAAGATTCAGACTGCATCAGTGTGTGTGTCTTTCTATTTTTTACTTTAATTGTAATGATCCCTGTGGAAGGATGTACTTCTCTTTCTCATGGGGGCTTTAAAAGTTATTTTAATTCAATACACTGACAAGGAATGACTTGCCCAATAGGCTTTCTGAATTTTCTTCTTTGAAATTGATATCACACATATGAAAGAAAAGGGTAAAGGCCATTACCTGCCACAGACAATATGTTCAAATAAAACCATTTATGGTTCAAGTTCAGTAATTCCTAGCAATGGCACATGTGCTTGCATTGTTAAAGGACAGATATTTGGCACTTAAACCTCTCATTATACTTGTGAAAATGCAAGATGGTTTCCTGGCAAATATTGCAGCCACAGAAATAGATAAAAGAGTACACTGAACACAGAGTATTAAAGTGACAAGAGACAGTGTTGCAGATAATATGGTACCAAGGGAGGAGTCAAATTAGAAAAAAATCATCTATTTGAAACTGTGGTACTTAGGATCAAAAGACATAAAAGAATGCAAAGTAGCATGAAGTGGACATACCAGGGGTCAGCATGTGGCCATTAGTGTTATTGCTGAGATCAGAGCTAGTTATGATAACCACTATTGTGTCATTGATTCCTGGTTCTCCTCTTTCAGTCTGCATCCATCTGTTGTCTCTTATACTTTGTAAGCTCTTAGGAACAGAGGTTCTTTTTGTTCAGAGAGCTCCTAGAACAAGGAGGTTCTGCTGCATGACCAGAGTTCTGAGATGCTACCATAATATAAATAATACTTAAGTGTGGGATCAAGCACATAAATCTTGCTAATTCTTATTTTTTAAAGAATCAATTTGTTTTTTTAATTCTTTTCCATTGTGATTTAATATCTTGTGACCTTTGTTTCCTACTCTGTTTCCAGGATCCTTTTGCATCACCCTCCTCAAAGAGCCCATGTCACAGTGATTTGGCTTTGCCCAATGAGCATTAACAGGATGTGCATGAAGACTAAACATAGTTTATGGCCCTAACTGAGAAGGCAGCAACATGAGACTTAAGGAACTTAATTCTATTAGTACTTGCTTTCAGACTATGTGTTTTCCAGTGGCTGTAACTGCTGAAATAAAGAGTTGCCTTCTTGTGTTTGCAATTATTATGGCATAATAGAAACGTATCCAAGTGCATTGATTTTCTAAATTGCAAGGCAGGCCAACCTACCATTTCATATATGATGCAAGGAGCCATACTGAACTGGCAATAAAAATCTACACAAAGCACTAATCTATATAGAAGCCCTTTAAAGTTAACTCAGAGGTTGTTGACTAAATTATAGTTTAGGACACAGAAAACACTTGCAAATATACCATAGGCATTTCAGGTTAGAACAATGTTACAGAGCACTGGATAGGAGTTTAATATCCATTTTTTTATAGTGGATACTGTAGTGGCCCCTATTGAGGCTGACCAAATTGACCAACACTGTCCTTTATACTCTCCACTTTCAATTGATTATGACTATAATAATTCAGAATCAAATTTTCCATGTTTGGATGTGTCTGGCACATTTTTAAAAAATTTGATCAGAACAGAGGTCAGCAGTTTTCAAGACTGATCTTTCAAGAAAGGTAGTTCTATTAAAAAAAACCCAGGTTTCTAATTTTAAAAAAAGTATCCAAAACTATAGCATATTTGATGGTTTGGTGAAAGAACTTGAACAAAAAGGGAAATAGTTTCAGAAGTCACCCAACACTCGCTTCCCGAGGGATGGAGCTGGCACCCCTGGAAGGTAGGGCTGGGGAAGCTGGTGGTGGCTAGGGATGGTTGCTATGGGTGGTGGCTGAGGGTTGGAGTCCCGCCCACCCTAAATTCAACCAATTTTGGCCAAGTTATAAAAAAATTGTTCATGTTTGTTGCTTCTGGAAGTCTAAACTCTTGCTGCATGCTCTGCTTCATGCTATCCACCCACCTGAGCAGGTATATAGAATCTTGGACAGGGCTATGCGCAAGCTGCTAACTTGAGCCACTGTGCCCACACTGCTATTTTTAGCATGCTAAAACCTGCCTTGCAACTGTATTTGGACAAAGCACTTAAATCAAGGATTCCCACATCCTAAATAAGTATCCTAACCACTGGGATACCTTGGGGTGAAATGCTTACACACTCACTCTCGCTTTCTCTCATGATCTGAGAAATCTCTCTCTCTCTCGTGATCTGAGAAATGGATAATGTATGAATTCCAGTTTGATTTTATGGACCATATGTATTTTTATGACTACACTATGTGTTGCCTCATGCTTCTTGTGCTAACAGACAGAGGAATGTTGTCTAAATGTCTGCTTATGAATTGGTTGGTCTTTGAAGACTATCAGCACATGAACTGATATTACCTGGGGAGATCTGCATCCTACATAAAGCCAGTTTTCTCAAACTTCTCTGCATGGGGGTCTTCAAAGGAAATGAATTTTCCCAGAAGCAGAACAAAACCAAGATATAAGTGGCAGGATTTTAAATGAAAAGGGATTTACAGAGATGAAAGAAGCCTTGGAAGGAGAGAGGAACAGAGGGTCATACTTTTGTGGCAGATGAGATCTTTTTAATTGCATGATAACTGAGGAAGAAAGAAACAGGCTGCAGAGGAAAGGTTCCATATGATTCAGAAGAGAAGACATTTGTGTGTGGGGGGGGGAGGGTTAATGGACTTCTTATAGGACTCTGACCTAAGCCCAAAGAATGCTGAAGAGCAGTAAGAAAAACAAAGCAAGTAAATGTATATAGGTGTCTAGATTTGTATATTTCTTGTGCTGTCTACACTAAAGAGCAAATTAGTCCAGTGGTAGACAGCATGGCCTTGACCAATTTAATGTACCTCCTTTGCACACATGCACATCACACATCACTTTATTAGGTCTATTTTTAGATAAGGTATAATGTGGAGCTATCAAATGGTGATGTTACCATAGCAACAGGGATAAACATTGACAACATCAAGAGGTTAAAATGACCAGTTTGAAATACTGCATTCACTACTGTTGATTTAATGACTCTATGTATTATTTCAAGATATATAATTGTATTTTGTTGTGGCCTTGTAAGAATGGCCATACTAGGTCAGATCCATGGCACAATATCTAGTCTTCCAACAGTGGCCAGTACTAGATGCTTCAAAAGGAATAACCAGAACAGGTCAAGTTTGAGTGATCCATCCCATGTCATCTAGTCTCATCTTCTGGCATTGGATATTTAGGGATAGCTGGACAACAGGGTTGCATCCCTGACCATACTGGCAAATGGGCATTGATGGACCTATCCTCAGAAGCATCACAACGGCGATAGCGGCTACTGCTTCAGAACTGGTTGGACACCATGGCTGTAACTCATCTGAAGAAAACAGGTCATCTGAAATTAGCAAAGACAGTATGCCTTTCTTTTTTGATGAAGATTATCACTATTATGCAGTTTGTCCTGGAGAAATCAATTCGGCTGTGACATCTGGCTGTCAGTTATGTTTTCTTCTCCTTGGTGAAGAAACCACAGTTTAATCTGGCTTATATCAGTTTTACTTGCACCTGTACATTATAGTCATGGGAGAGGACATAACAAGTAAATACGAGGAGAGACAGAGGAAAGAAATTGATATAAAGGTCCCTCCGAAAAAGTGCTGCTCACCATTTATAAGTAGCAAGCATGATTTTCCATTTACAGAATCAAGCAGAGCAGCTTGACCAATAGAAAGGGTCTGCACGGCAAAGCAAAGGGAGAAAAGCTGAAAATAAAACCCTGAACCTGGAAAGGCAAGGAGGAGCTGGAAGGAAGCCAGGGTGCAAGTCCTTTGGGCATTAAATATGCTTCTAGACCGCATTTCTATTTCAAACATTTTTTCACACATTCAAGCTAGATTTCAGATTCAAAGTCTCCAGTAAATTCAGCTGCTTCCCTCGATTTCATCATCAGCAGTCCCAGGATCAGCCTACATCTTCTCCCCACTCACTGTCCCTGCAAATTTTGCAAGTGGATCCTACCGGGAGCTTGAGCAGCTTCCAAAATCCTGAAACTACTGTCTATGATGCCTTGTCACCTCACCACCAAAACCTTCTTCTTGTATGCAAAACGACTATGTCTTGTATTTGGAAACAGAATGCTCCCACTTCTGTGCTAAAATAAATGAAGCAGGCAACACTAGCAAATTGAGAGGTTGCATTCTGGCATGTAAAAGATCCAGAAACTTGACTACGCACAAAATACAGAAGGCATATTAACTGACTAATGAACATTTAGTTCAGAACACAGTTTGAATCTGCTATAAGGACTTTTTGTTCTATATAACTAAACACATGCTGAATCGAGAAGAATTAAATGTCAAGACATACTTACATTAAATTATATGCAACCAACAAATTTGGTAGAGCTTAGCTAAGTTTTCTATCATTTCTATAAGGTACAAATGCAGTTCAGAAAGCTGTTTTCTAATGAGGAGAAATGTTCTTGTATTATATGCTTGGCTCTAATTTTGCTTTTATAAACTCTGAATATAATTCTGTTCAAAATGTGAATTCCTTCTCCATTCTTTAAAGCTATAAACCCTTAATAAATTCAAAAATTCTATTTTTAGTAAGCTAGAAGAAAAGTCAACAAAACATAACAAAGAACTAAACTGTCAAACTTGTTTAGTGTGCAAAACACCCAATCTATCTCTTCTGGCAGCCTGAATCAAAGATAGATAGTAGAGTCAACAAATGAAATACAGTTTTCTTGGAGAGATCTAAGACCTGATATATCTTCTACCGAATCATTGAGAACTGGATTGCCATATCAACTGTCTTCAAGGACCACAAGTCTGTGGCTTGCAATGGTCAGTATTTTGATAGTATATTGCAATCCAGAACACATTGTCTAAATTTAAAATGGTCTCTCAAAAATTGACTGCTATGCTTAGTTCTGTCTTTATATGTGTGTGTACTCCTTAATTATTTCTTCCTTGATGGAGTTTGTATTTCTACTGTTTATGCTTGTCCTATATTCCACCCCCTGCCTTCTGATAAATTAAGGAGTAAGGATATAGCATGAAAGCAAAATTGATCACAGCAAGAGTTTTATGTGGTCTTAGTTGTATCCTCCTTGTGTCTCAGAGAGTTATGAAAATGGTTCCTGGGCAAAGTGAAGTGAAACCAACATGAAGGACTTCAACAAACCTATTGACTTCTCAGTACAGATAAATGGACTGATCATTTAATTTTGATGCTATCAAAGAGCTCTGAAATGTGGACACTACCTCCTTTGGTTCTTTTTTTTTAACATTTTGATCACAACTCTAACAATGGTATCTATAGCTTCAGAGGGGTAGGCGAGTTAGTCTGTAACAGTAAAAACTTAAAAAACAACAAATAGTCTAGTAGCACCTTAAAGACTAACAAAACATGTAGATGGTATCATGAGCTTTCATGGGCAAAATCCACTTCTTCAGATGACCGGAGTATAATAAATCCAGATCCCAGAATAAATAATGGCATCTATGTTTGTGTCCTGTACTGTGTTGTGTTTGCAAAACTATGATACTATTAAAGAAATAGGAAAAAAAATACAACAGTGCTGAGACAGGTGCTCACAGAGAGTCGCTGCTTGAAATAACAGTTCTCTCTCTCTCTCTTTCTCTCTTTCTTTCTCTCTCTCCTGTAGTTTAGTTATTTTCTATTCTTAGTGAGAAGCAGGTTACAAATGCAAAACTGTCATCATGATTATTTAATCCTTGTGACTCCGTGAGGCAAACTCTAGTACTGGGAACTGGACTACTCAAACTAACAGTGCCAACACACAATAAGGAGGGATACAGTTTGATGACAATCATGAACAGAGTTTCATAAAAGGCTATCAAGGGGATAAATGAAAGACCCTGCACTTTCACATACAGGCACCAGTGGCTATTTCATGGGTATGTGTGATCGATAGTAAGTCACACACAGATTTCTGGTCCACTTTTCTAATACACTTGCACCTCAGTTTGGGCGATAATGTAGTGCACTTCAAATGGGTATGTGAGACTCAAACCACATACAACAAAAGGTGAGCAGCTGGAAGTGGGAGCATTGGTTACCTGCATGAAAGAAGGATTACCTACAAAACTACTTTCAGAATGTGAGAGAGAACCAGAAAAGGGTGGGTGACTATTCTAGAGCTACCCCAGCCTTCCTTC